ATCGAAGGTGTTTCGTCGAACAAACGATTGAACTTTCGGTTGCACCATTAAATTTAGTAATCTAACATATGATTTGGTGTTGATATCTCTCCAATTTTACTCCTTACTTCAATTCGGAAGAAAATTCCGGATTTTTGCCATGTATTGATGCCAGGAACGGTTCGATTTTGTTTTTAACTTGAACAATTTTGCTTTTAGTTTATTGCAAGTTATATAACCAATTTCTATTTTCCAACCGAAAACTGGAAGATAACGCAATTAAGAAGACATCAGACAGACTACTTCTGGAGGCCACAGCTTTGGATCCCTTTGAATGCTACTTTTTCCTTCTCAGCCTGTTTTAATAATTTTAAATGGCATTAAACTTTACAGCTCCAGTCTTCTAATTTTTTTGTTTGTTGAAGAAGTGCAGCTTCATTCTGTAAAAAATTTAATTTGTTCGTTAATTGAATTTTTTGCATTGAAATATGTTCAATATCTCAGCAGTCTTAGGTTCGATTTACCGAAGAATTTTGACTACCTCAAAGAAGTCCCGTAGTTTGGTATTATATTGAAGAACTTTCAGTTGTAAAAAAAAAGCTTCGAGAAAACTGTGCTGGTTTTTTCCCGTTTTTCTGATTAAATGACACAAAAATTTAGCTATGAAAATCTAGAAATGCAATTTCTGTGGGCCAATTTTTGTCTCAAGTCCTGTGGGTTCGGTGGTTTTCGTATCTTTTTCCTCGACTGCTTGGCGGATGTCACCGGCAATTTCTTGACTGCAACCCCAGATTTCCTAAGCAGATGCCCATTACTCATCGTTAGCGTATGTTTCCTTTCCGCGATTATACTATTTTTGAGCAATCTATACCTTTTAGTGTTTTTATCGCCCGTTCGCAAGTAGATTTAAATTTAATTACGTTTGACCAATTCTGATTTCTTAATGAGGGCTTCTTGGTTAGGTTTCTTAACACTGTATTAGCCGCCCGAACGTGGTGAGCTTCTAATGACAGTATTTTGAGAGTGGCGTTGTTTGTGAATCGTAACGCTCCGAGGGCCCTCTCAACCATTTTCTCCAAAGGTTCCGCTGTTTCTTCTCGTGAGTACGTGAGGATTGAATTCTTTAAACTGCCAATTGTTCATTCCACACACCCTGAAAACTGGAAGATAACTTACTTAAGAAGACATCAGACATACTACTTCTGGAGGCCACGGCTTTGACTCTTTGAATGCTACGTTCTCCATCTCACCCTTTTAAAAAATTTTAAAAGGCATTAATCTTTACAGCTCCAGTCGGCGTTTTTTGTTTATTAAAGAAGTGCAGTTTCATCTTGTGAAGAAATTTATTTGTCCCTCAATTGAATTTTTTTGTATCGGAAATCTGTTTAATTTCTCAGTAGTCTTAGCGTAGATTTGGTTTGGTGGCGAATTTTGACTACCTCAGTTTCAAAAAAAAGCTTCTAGAATACATTGCTGTTTTTTTTTTCCGTTCTTCTGACTAAAGCATCCAATTATTTAGCTATCATTACAATGACTAACTGTGCGTTGGATAGGCGCACAGTTTTGCGTCTGTTGGTTTGTGGACTCCAGAGACAAGTTTTAGACGTGTTCTAAATTGTAAATGAATTCCACTTAAAAAATTTCAGTGGGTACCGCGTACATTACCTGTAACGTAAATTCTGTCGTCACATTGCTTTTGTTGCAAAAATCCTAAACGAGCAAAGATAGGTGGTTGTTTCGGCTTCTGCAAATGTAAGCGATTTCCGCAAATGTAAATGGATTCCGCAAATTTATGCAGATTCCGCTTACAGTTTGCGGATTCCGCTTACTTTTTGCAAAATCCGCTTACATTTTGCGGTTTCCGCTTACAGTTTGCAGATTCTACTTACAGTTGCGGATTCCGCGACAGCTTAAGTTTATTAAACACTTACTTGATTTCTTCGTGGATTCCACAGGTTTGTTCCGGATTCCATGCATTTTATTGCGGATTCCGCAACGGTGCCTGTTTTGGGAGCAAATTTGAAATTTTGAGCAATACAGTGTTTTAGCAATTTGTCCGTGGAATCCAAAACAGCAGAAAAGATCAGAGAAAAAAAGCAACTTTTTTGTTTGTTGAAGAAGTGCAGTTTCATCTTGTGAAGAAATTTATTTGTCCCTTAATTGAATTTTTTGTATCGGAAATCTGTTTATTTTCTCAGTAGTCTTAGCGTAGATTTGGTTTGGTGGCGAATTTTGACTACCTCAGTTTCAAAAAAAAAAGCTAGAATACATTGCTGTATTTTTCCGTTCTTCTGAACAAAGGTTCCAATTATTTAGCTATCCTTACAATGACTAACTGTGCACTGGTAAGGCCCACAGTTTTGCGTCTGTTGGCTTGTGGACTCCAGAGACAAGTTTTAAACGTGCTCTAAATTGTAAATGAATTCCACTTACAAAATTTCAGTGGGTACCGCGTACATTACCTGTAACGTAAATTCTGTCGGCACATTGCTTTTGTTGCAAAAATCCTAAACGAGCAAAGATAGGTGGTTGTTTCGGCTTCTGCAAATGTAAGCGATTTCCGCAAATGTAAATGGATTCCGCAAATTTATGCAGATTCCGCTTACAGTTTGCGGATTCCGCTTACTTTTTGCAAAATCCGCTTACATTTTGCGGTTTCCGCTTACAGTTTGCAGATTCTACTTACAGTTGCGGATTCCGCGACAGCTTAAGTTTATTAAACACTTACTTGATTTCTTCGTGGATTCCACAGGTTTGTTCCGGATTCCATGCATTTTATTGCGGATTCCGCAACGGTGCCTGTTTTGGGACCAAATTTGAAATTTTGAGCAATACAGTGTTTTAGCAATTTGTCCGTGGAATCCAAAACAGCAGAAAAGATCAGAGAAAAAAAGCAACTTTTTTGTTTGTTGAAGAAGTGCAGTTTCATCTTGTGAAGAAATTTATTTGTCCCTTAATTGAATTTTTTGTATCGGAAATCTGTTTATTTTCTCAGTAGTCTTAGCGTAGATTTGGTTTGGTGGCGAATTTTGACTACCTCAGTTTCAAAAAAAAAGCTAGAATACATTGCTGTATTTTTCCGTTCTTCTGAACAAAGGTTCCAATTATTTAGCTATCCTTACAATGACTAACTGTGCACTGGTAAGGCCCACAGTTTTGCGTCTGTTGGCTTGTGGACTCCAGAGACAAGTTTTAAACGTGCTCTAAATTGTAAATGGATTCCACTTACGAAATTTCAGTGGGTTCCGCGTACATTACCTGTAACGTAAATTCTGTCGGCACATTGCTTTTTTTGCGAATTCCTAAACCAGCAAAGATAGGTGGTTGTTTCGGCTTCTGCAAATGTAAGCGATTTCCGCAAATATAAATGGATTCCGCAAATTTATGCAAATTCCGCTTATTTTTTGCAACATCCGCTTACATTTTGCGGTTTCCGTTTACAATTTGCAGATTCTACTTACAGTTGCGGATTCCGAGACAGCTTAAGTTTATTAAACACATACTAGATTTCTTCGTGGATTCCACAAGTTTGTTCCGGATTCCACGCATTTTATTGCGGATTCCGCAACGGTGCCTGTTTTGGGAGCAATTTGAGCAATACAGTGTTTTAGCAATTTGTCCATGGAATCCAAAACAGCAGAAAAGATCAGAGAAAAAGGTAACTTTGCGGATTCCGGGACAAAACTGACTTTTGCTTGTTGCGGATTCCGCTGACAATTCACAAAATGCATGGCCTCGTAGTGAAAGCTTTTTAAAGCCAAACAATGGTATCATGGCAAAAGTAAGTTTTTAACTAGTGATAAACTTCATTATAAACTGGGAAATTTATTTTTTAGTGCAACATTTATTCAAAAACAGCCTTCGAAAAATCGTCAGCGACATTCGAAATTTCGACGAATGTTCTAAAACCCGATAATTCATGGGGTTTTCCGTACTCTTGAGAGAAAAAATTATATTCAATATTTAATTGAAATTTTTCCAATTTTCATGCAGAGGTTTTTGCCTGTTCACACGATCTCCACTAAATGTTTCCCTTCTCTTGGTAACAAGTATCCAGCGGTGCTGAAAATACGCTCAGACAGGTCCTCCTGAATGTTATGGAACTTTTCCTTGCCAAAGTGAGTCTCGGATATTTAGTGTAAGCAAATCAGTAACACGCAGGTCAAATAGGACCGAATAATCGTGAGAGCTATCGAAGGTGTTTCGTCGAACAAACGATTGAACTTTCGGTTGCACCATTAAATTTAGTAATCTAACATATGATTTGGTGTTGATATCTCTCCAATTTTACTCCTTACTTCAATTCGGAAGAAAATTCCGGATTTTTGCCATGTATTGATGCCAGGAACGGTTCGATTTTGTTTTTAACTTGAACAATTTTGCTTTTAGTTTATTGCAAGTTATATAACCAATTTCTATTTTCCAACCGAAAACTGGAAGATAACGCACTTAAGAAGACATCAGACAGACTACTTCTGGAGGCCACGGCTTTGGATCCCTTTGAATGCTACTTTTTCCTTCTCAGCCTGTTTTAATAATTTTAAATGGCATTAAACTTTACAGCTCCAGTCTTCTAATTTTTTTGTTTGTTGAAGAAGTGCAGCTTCATTCTGTAAAAAATTTAATTTGTTCGTTAATTGAATTTTTTGCATTGAAATATGTTCAATATCTCAGCAGTCTTAGGTTCGATTTACCGAAGAATTTTGACTACCTCAAAGAAGTCCCGTAGTTTGGTATTATATTGAAGACCTTTCAGTTGTAAAAAAAAAGCTTCGAGAAAACTGTGCTGGTTTTTTCCCGTTTTTCTGATTAAATGACACAAAAATTTAGCTATGAAAATCTAGAAATGCATTCTCAGTTAAGTTTTTTTGTTTTTTGCATTGATTTAGCTAATATTACCTGTCATCTTTGTAGCTTTTTAACTACTGCAGCAGTCCTCCACTTATAAAAAAAAAACCAGTGTAAAACAATGATTTCATTTATTTTAATCGTTATTATTAGAACATCAACATGTATCCTGTTTTTCCCTGTGTTCGATCTCTTTGTCAGTATTGCGTGAAACCAATATTGAATGAAGAGTTGAGTGAAGTCTGGCTGGAGAAGCCCTCTTCACTCCTCATATCCTGCTGCTGTTGCTCTCTCTTCTGTAGTTGCAGCAGCTCTAAACGTTAGTCTAGTTTAATGAATGGCATTTTCTCGAATCAATGGAATCAGCAATTAAGATCGATTGCTTCTAAATTGAAACATTGCTCGTATCAAGGCAAGACCCTGAAACTTTCAACTGCCCTAAAACGTGTCAACAATTTTTTTGCTAAACGAAAAAATTGATAGGTCTATAAATTTAAAAATGTTGCTTGTCTGAACTACGTACGTGGTTAGCATCATAAATAAATTCTTACAAGCGCGCGTAAATATGTCAAAAAAATGACAAAATTCAACCCCTACCAAAAGATTAGCAGTTGAAATTCGACCCAGGAAGCTGATATCTTCAGTGCACAACAAATCTCAATAAAATATTAATTCAATCGCCTCAGTTGGTCTGAATCGAGAATAAATCGACAAGAAACTTTTCGTTGCTTTCAAATGTCAGTCGAAAACCATTAAAATTTGCATTGAGCCAATTCACCTATACAATTGTCTTCTTGCATCACGTTTAGCTTTTTTTTGCTGAGTAACTATTATTTTATTGCGATGTTGCCCTTATTACACTGGCAAACGTTAACTACAGTTTTTTTCCAACTTAGGTCGCACATTTTTGAGTAATTTATACAATCAGCTTCATCGAATTATACGCATTTAAACCAGCGCTAAATCTTAAACCACGATCAATGTGGAAAATATTTTAGGCTTTTGTAATTTTTATACCACTATAATTGTAAAATTGATTCGAAACTGAAAGCCGTTCAACGATGAAACATTTCTCACCTCCAAACATTGAGTTCAAAGACAGTTCTCCATTCTTAGACTTGGGTAACTTGGGACTCTTCGTTCCCCCCATTGGAGACCTGGACCGACTGATGGGGGTGTTGATATCCTCTGTGCCGCCAATTGATACATTTAGTTTCTTTCCTAGAGTGGGCATCCTGCCACTCCAGTTCAGCTTCCCTGAAGTGTTGAAAACGATGATGTAGTACGGTTAAATTACAATCTTAATTAACAACTGTTTCTAATAAGATCATAAGCGACAACGGAAATAGGAGATTACCGAAGGTGGCAAACGCTCCAAAGGTTAGTACCTGTCAACTAAGTCTAGCACCGGTGTGAGAGATGGTTGATTGACAGATATAATAATGAACATAAACTAAACAAGAGTGAACTAGTTTAATCACTATGAGATTTCCCCTCTTATGAAATGAAATTGTATAGGTACAATGAATGATAGTTAAGTACTCAGAAGGGTTGTAATGAAGATTTAAAGACTCAGCTTGTTAATGAATAATGAGATGAAATGAAGTAACGTTAAATGACTCGGTAAAAAATTAAGGTACTCAGAATGTTTTAGGGTTGTTTAATACTAAGTTTAAGTTTTTAACTGATCCAGTCAGCCCTCTCCCCCAACTTCTGAGTTTTTAATTTAATTTTTGCTTCCCGTGCTTCTACTTTTTCTCTCCTCCCTTCAAAATGGAGTCAATCATAACGTCCCCCTTTTTGGTCACTGCGGTGCGCTTCCTCCCACTTCTGCGTGACGTTGCTGGTTCGATACTACTATTCGAGTCCTGGCTTGAATAGGAGACGAAACGCTTCTTTTTCTCGCGCTTTGCCGTTCCTCCGGATTTTCCTTTTCATCGGGATTTTCTACCAGTCCCGCTCGTAGATTGCACCATTGGTGCAGTTTTATCTCCGATCGTTTCGTCGTTCGCTCGCTCCGTTGCTATTGCTCCGCCGTTTGCTCGCTCCGTCGCTTCGCTGTTTAATCGCTCCGTCGTCAACGTTTCCGCTTCTTCAATTTTCCCGCTCGCCTCGTTCGATTTTTCTTGATTCTCGTTTCTTTTGTCAGGTGGTCCTTTTCGCTCCGGTTGTTGTTCCGCTTCTGAATTTTCATCGATTACCGCTCTTGTTCGAGTTTCCGGTATCCGCCCCGTTGCCGTTCTTCACGTTATGAGCGGTTGGTGGTCCTCGTCGTCCGATTCCGTGTCCTTCGTCTGTTCGAATTGTCTCCCCTGTACGGCTGAGTAATTCGTGCCCTTGGCGGCCAATTTTTGTCTCAAGTCCTGTGGGTTCGGTGGTTTCCGTATCTTTTTCCTCGACTGCTTGGCGGATGTCACCGGCAATTTCTTGACTGCAACCCCAGATTTCCTAAGCAGATGCCCATTACTCATCGTTAGCGTATGTTTCCTTTCCGCGATTAAACTATTTTTGAGCAATCTATACCTTTTAGTGTTTTTATCGCCCGTTCGCAAGTAGATTAAAATTTAATTACGTTTGACAAATTCTGATTTCTTAATGAGGGCTTCTTGGTTAGGTTTCTTAACACTGTATTAGCCACCCGAACGTGGTGAGCTTCTAATGACAGTATTTTGAGAGTGGCGTTGTTTGTGAATCGTAACGCTCCGAGGGCCCTCTCAACCATTTTCTCCAAAGGTTCCGCTGTTTCTTCTCGTGAGTACGTGAGGATTGAATTCTTTAAACTGCCAATTGTTCATTCCACACACCCAGTCGCGCGGTGATCGTTCACTGGGGCTTGTACTATTTCGATTCCTTCGCCGTTACAAAACGCTTTTACGTCCCTTGACATGAAATTAGTACCCTGATCCACATGAATTTTCCTTGGAACACCGTGATTGTTTATATAGGCCTTGAGAATTTTTAATATTTTGTCCGGACGGTTATTTCCGGAAACCATTGCCGATGGCCAGCGGGAGAAACGGTCGACGGCTACGATGGCAAAGTTTTTAGATTCTATTAAATAACTTGTCGGCCCCCAAAAATCTAATTGCACCAATTAGTTTGGTTTTTTTGATTCTGGAATGGTTACTATATATTGTCTACTACTCATATTTTTAAGATTCTTACCAGCTGCCGTGCACTCTCTGCCATCGCCGCAATATTTCTATGAATGAACGGAAACCAAATGTCCTTAGCTGCCGTAAACATGTTGGATTTCCCGTGATGGTAGTAGTGTAGTCTTTTATTTATGGCCTTGTTTAGAGTGTTCGGTTTAACTAGTTTGTCGCCCATTCATAAGACATTGTCGCGTACATGAAAGTCATTGACGAATTGGGAGTAGTAACGATTCATTCTGTGCAACTTTTGTTGTAGTTTGGGATCTTTTGTCTTCACCATCCCGTAAATTGCTTGTATTTGTAGATCTGAGGCGTATTGTGACTCGATGAACCTCAAGTTAAACAATTCGGGAAGGGCAGTATTCTTCTGTACTATTTTACAATTGCTTGGCACTCTTGACATTATGCAAGATTTCGGGTTCACCGCCGGAAAGGATTCTCCTGGAAATGCCGAAGGTTTTGAGAGTATGTGTTCGTCTTGATTGTTGTTGTTTCCGTTGTGATCGCTTGTAGTTGTTCAGCTCCAATCTCGCTCGTATTAATGCTTGAGTGTCGTTCTAGAAATCGCTTCATTTTTTGAAAGGTTTTCTCCATCTTCTCGTGTTATGCCTTAAATTTTGAAATAGTAGTAAAAATTGTCTTGCCGCCGTCGTTTAAGTTAGTACTCGCTCCTTATTTTTAGATTTCTTACGTTTGTCCGTCGGTAGTCATTACGTGCATGATTCTTATTGGCTGATTTAATTTCGCATGTTTGCTGGCCTTTTAGCGGTCGTTTATGTGCAGTACTTGCTGCTTTCCTATTGGTCAAAACATGATTAACTGAGGCATTGTTTGAATTATTTCCGGTCCTCCGGATGAGCGTATGTTCATTAATCCGAAGGTTGGATTAATCAAATTTATTATCGCGACTGTAAACATGCTGTCATACTTTGAAATTGGCTTGGCCAAGTCGCCAGGGTTTCGAGAAAAATAATTTGCCAGTCCTATCTTTGCCCCCGGTTTATGTTCGACACAGAAATCAAATGGAATCAGTCTATCTAACCATCGTGTAAAGCGGCTGAACATCGTGTTGTTTTTCTTGTTCTTTTTTGTACCCTTTAATAATGATACATGAGCTTTATGGTCAGTAATTATCGTAAAAGGACGCCCCAAAACGTAACTTCGGAAGTACTCTGCCCCCCAAACAACCGCTAACATTTCCAGCTCGTTAATCAAGTATCGTTTTTCGGCGTCGTTTAGGTGTCGCGATGCAAATGAAATCGGCCGCCAACCATCTGTTCCGAGTTGCTCTAATACGGCCTCAATCCATTGTGGCTTGCGTCACATACGATCCGAATATCTTTGTGAACGTCGAAATGTTTGAGCTCTACGATATTTGCAACCTGATTTTTCAAATTCTCAAATGACGCTTGACATTCTGGTAACCACACATATTCATTTTTCCGGCTTAACGGCGCCGACGATTCTGCTAGCGCCGGTATGTACTTATGCAGGCTGTGGATTGATTCCATTAAGGATTTAAGTTGCGATAACAAGCGCGGTGGATTAAATGCTTCTATTGGGGTTGTTTTCCAGACTAATGGGGTTATGCCTGTTGGTGTGATTCTATGTCCGAGCCATTCGCATTCCCGTTGCGCAAATTTACCTTTAGACAATTGTAATGTCATATTTTCCTGGTCTAGTTTTTTTAGTATCTTTTCCGCCGTCGAGATATGTTCAATTCCCGATCCTTTAGTTGTGATGAGTATATCGTCAAAAAAAACATGTGCCTGTGGAAACTCCGACAGTATGCAATCCAATACTCTTTGAAATTACGCCGGCATAGATGTTAGGCCATAGAACCCCGTTTTAAATCGGTACGTACCCGTCAATCTTCCCCCAACCAGTGAAAAATTACATTGTACGCTAGTTTCTGGGCTGAGTGGTAATTGTCCGTACGCGTACCTTAAGTCGATTGTAGAAAAATAATTAACCCCCGCTTTCTTTTCGCTAATTGTTTGGCCGACCGTGTCCAATTAATTCCTCAATATTGAGCATTTGACATTTATTTTTATGGACTTGTTTATTTAGTTCCCGGGCCTCCAATGCTAACTTTACTGACCCATTCTTCCTTACCATAATCACAATTGGGGAGACAAAGTATCGGTCCGAACAGTCCACTAGCCTTTCAAAATGTCCTTGTTGTAAAATTTTGTCTATTTCGCGGTCTAATTTTTCTTGCAACGTTATTGGTACACGCCTACCCTTCTGTTGGATAGGTACCAGATTTTAAAAAAATTCCGCCCGTACTTTATGATTTCGTAGTTTATTGATCCGTGTAAAAAGTTTAGAAAACTGCTTACTAAAAAAATCCTGCCATTGATCCAGATTGTTTTCTCCCTCGGCATATTCTCCCTCGGCGTGCTCATAATGGATCTCCATCACCCGCTCCCCTGGTGTCTTTTGAACCAGCTGTAGTCCCAATTCCGGCATAAGATCTCGGCCAATTATTGAAGGACGGTTTCCTCCAATCACTTTGATGGTTGCTATCGTCTTCCATCCGTTTAATGTTAATTGCACTTGCATAGTTCCCAATAAACTCAGCGGATTGTTGCCTTTATCCCGGAAGTCTTGATCCTCTGGTGCTAATTCTTTTAGATGTACTCCGCTGGTGCCTAATGTCCTTCTTAACTCCTCAATCGTAAAAATTGATTTTGGTGACCCGCTGTCAACCCAAACGCTCGTCTTTTTCCCATTTATCGCAATGGGCATTTTAGCGCCTGCTACTTTTAGCTCGGTCCTGTTATTTGATCTGATTGGCTGGACTAAATAATCCCCCGAACTGTCCGAGTCCCAAGAATGATGCTGTTTTGGGAGCGCTGGGTTATTTACCCATCCCACCGAACTTTCTTGTACGGTCTCGTCGATGTCTTCTTGCTCGTAATGATACTGATCAACCTTTCCCTGAATCATCCCCACTGACTGGCGTCCCCGGTTATTTCGTTTTGCTCGGCACGTGCTCTCAAAAAAGCCCACTTTTTTAAACAAAAATTACACATTGCTCGCTTCGTGGCACACTCGTTCGGATAATCCCTGGTGAAATTGGGTTTGTCGCAGTTGTAACATTTACGTTCGCTTACATTTCCCCCTCCCCGAAATTGTCCTCGTCCTTGTGGCTGTCCTCGTCCGCGCCCTTGGCTGCTCCGGTATCCCCCTCGGATTACTCCCACCGGTTCCCATTTTATCTGGAGTCCTCCAGCCATCGGTGCACTTGCTTCTCCGGTGCCTCCCGTCGTCGCCACGTATGTTCTCGCATATTTATCTCCTCTTTCGTAAGATAATGCGAACCGATACGCCTCTTCCGGCGTTTTTGTTGCGCGACATAGCTCGTTTCGGGCCTCCCTGTTCGTCATGTTTACAAAAAATACATTTCGTACTATTCTGGACTCCAATGTTCCGAGCGCACATCGGGCTGCTAGCCCGCTATGAACAGAATGAAACTGTTCCAACGACTCACCGGTACGTTGCTTGCGTGACGGTAGTTTAAATACCTCGTACGTCTCGTTCCTTTCTTTTTTAAATTCCCCCTCCATCGCCTCCAACACCCTCGGCTATCTTGTAGTTGTCAAATCCAAATGAGGCCTCCTCTTGTGCAATTCGTCCTGCCCCTTCTCCCCAAAACATAAGTATAGGTTCGATATCAGCGTTTGTCCTGATTCCAATCGTGGTTTCCCATCCACCTCCGCTGCTAAGTCCCCGATTTGTGCCTCCGTAAGAGTACTGGCAAAGTAGAAGTTTTTCGGGTTCAAGGAATGTTTTGCTACCATCCCCACTGGAATCGGTTCAGCCAGAGATCCCACTGCATTGGTGGCTCCGCGCATTTAGGTGGCCAAAAGGACATGATGACCAATGGATTTTTCCCCACCTTGATTTGCTGGCTGCGCCATGTTGAAAACGATGATGTAGTACGGTTAAATTCCAATCTTAATTAACAATTGTTTCTAATAAGATCATAAGCGACAACTGAAACAGGAGATTACCGAAGGTGGCAAACGCTCCGAAGGTTAGTACCTGTCAACTAAGTCTAGCACCGGTGTGAGAGATGGTTGATTGGCAGATATAATAATGAACATAAACTAAACGAGAGTGAACTAGTTTGATCACTATGACAGAAGAGACATGCCTTGCTCACAAACTTTTGTCAGAGGAGAAAAAAGGAGGATCTTTGAGTCGTCATCACTTTAATCATGAAATACTGGTTATGTTTCAGAAGGGTTTTTACGGCTTTTGCCTGCTAACGAAATTTCCTTCTGAGCACCGGCGTATTTTTCTCAAGGCTAGAATTTTTTAACAAAATTTGTTCCAATCCTCACTTGGGCATTGAATGAAACGAGTGCAATTTTGATTTCCGCAATTTTTGTGCATGTAATATATTTGAGCAACCAAACCTAAAACGAACTTGGAATCGAAGATCAAAACCCAAATAACATTTTACTTGCCCTCACACAGATATCCCTTTTGTATCTATTCCAGATGAAAGCTAAAAGAAGATGCCCAGTTCTTAAGAACAGTTCTTACTTGATCTGTTATTGATAAGAATTAGTCAAAATTTTTTCTTTTTTTTCGGATTTGTTCTATCGATGCAACGAGCATCCAAACAAGAAATGCAATATTACGCAGATACAAAGTTAGAAATACCTCCCATTCCCATAGCTGCAATCGCATTCATCTTCCTCTGCATGATTCTGGGCTTATTCGTGACTGACACATAGGGTTCAGGAGAGGGTGTGGGTGGGGGACTGGGTATCCTCGCTTTGCGTCGGAATGAAGATGTCAACTGCTGGGAGCGCACCGACATCAAGTCCGTCACAGTATGCGATCTTGTAAATCCAGAGCCAACTGGTGGCAGAAAGCACTGGTTGGTATGAGTCAGCCTAGCTGAACACATCTGTCGTTCTTTGCTTGATGGTATACAGTCGCCATTTTGTATCATCTGCTTTTGGGCAGACTGCTCTGGCTTTATGTCTCGAGAAATAACGCGAAACTGCAAATCGGTCAGAATTTCGTGATATCTGCGAAAAAAAGTTCATGTTTTCAAATTTGAGCTTATTTATCCTCATCGGGAGAAAATATTCTCACCCGCCCAACATCGGGAGAAAAAACTTCTTGCCCAACATCGGGAAAGAAGAAAATAGGTTTTTGCAGATTTAATTTTGATAACATTAGCTGAACTGTGGAATTGAATTTATATTTTACGTCTCTGGCTGCTTGTCTTCTTTGATGGCTCTATCCAGTCTTTTCAGCTGCAGTTGGTGTAGTTTGTCGTGGTACTGTAGTCTTCCTTTCTCGTAGAGCGTGATCAGAAGAGGGTCCAGCACTTTAACGTCTCTTGCCGAGGCAGGTCGCTTCCTCACTTTGCCCGTAAGCACTCTGAAAACAACACATAGAAAGGTAAGCACAAACTCTGTTTAAATATTTGCAATTATAACTTATGAATATCAATTACGGTTTTTTCTAAACTCTTTGAAATGCCAGAATTGGCTTTGTTCCCGAGCAAAATTTTTCTATCATGCATTTTTCACCCCTAATTTACGATTGCTGTAAAAGGCTAACTAGGCTTTTTACATGTATTTAGCCGTCAGACACCTTTAAAACCACTCGGTAGATCATTACCTTGCGGCTTATTTGAGCTGAGGGGGATCAAGGAAAAAAGCCACTCAACGTTTTTCCGAGCTCCCCAGAAATTAAACGAGCTCTCCCCCCACCTGCGAATATTTACTTTTTAAACTTTTTGCTTACATTGTCCAATTATTCTAAAAATTGGCATGCGGACTAATTAGGCCATGAAACGAATTGATTCTTCACATTGTAAAACGCTTGTTGCAAAATATTTTCTTCGGCGCTCTCCTCCCAATTTTAGTGTACATTGGCGCGACTGCTCTTTACCCCCGCCCTCTCTCGCATGAGCATCAATTTATAGTGTAACGAGTGGTTTTAGATGGTCAAAATGCGAACTAATAAAGTTTTTCGTTACCTAATTAGTTCGCATGACAGTTTTCAAAAAAATTGGACCATGTGAACAATAATTTTCTTCTAGAATTTTGCAGACGCGGAAAGGAAAAAGAGTCACTGGCACTCAAGGCTCATCAGTAAACTATTAGCGTTGGTCGACCAAAAAGATGTCTTACAGTAGTAAAAGGGCGACTTTTGGGTGAATAGGGCGTCAAATACCTGAGAAGGGGCAATATCCTTCCAATCATATATCACATTTTATGCCAAAACGATTGTTTGTAAACACGTGCAATGTCAGCTATAAATTTGAAGTTCGATTGAAAGTTTTTTTTGTTCAAAAGGCCTTTTTTCATTATATTTCAACTTTTAAAAAACTCGAAAGTTCAAATGAACCAGGTGTACTCTCGTAACATATTAGGTTGTAATTCGGCACTCACTGAAATGAGTCATGTTGGTCACACTGTGGCGTGAATAGAACACAGTTCAAATACACTCCTCTCTGCCCCGCCCTCTCCCACCCACCGGCATCCAGGTGTTTCCAGGAGTCCCTTCTACTCCCTCCATTACTCCTCCCAGACTTAAGCAGAGATATGATTTCGGACATGTTGGAGTGGGGGTGATTGAGGTTGCTGGCTAGCATGAGAGGGGAGATGCCACTAGGCTTGAGATAGAATAAGTCGCTGTCCAGAGATATGGATAGCTGTTTTAAACTGAAACCAACGCCTGTCAGTAAATTTTAGTGTGAATAAACTATGAAAAAAAAAGATTCTGGTGGCTCGCTGACTAATAGATCAAAAATATTTCATCTCCAACCATTTTGCTCAATCGTCCGAAGGATTGAATTTTTTGAACCATTTATGAATAAATGCTCGTTAGAGTTCTATCGGACCTCCTCGCCATTGTGTTTAATGTCTATCTCGATAGTTTATCCTTTTTCTTTTTCTCTCTCGAAGCATTACTTTTGCAAAGTTAATGCGGAAAAATTGCAAAATGTTCAAGATCATATTAACTTTACTCACTTGATTACTATAGTCTCAACAGCTTTGATATTGTCCAACATTATTGCATAGTGTAGTGTACTAAGGCCGAACTTATCCCTCGCAGTGATAGAATCCTCCGAGCTCATTGGACTCATCAAAATATCAAAAAACTGCATCTTGTCCGCAATGATGCAATAGTGTAGAACATTTCTGTGCAGCAGGTCAGCAGTTTGAAGGTCATCTGATCGAAGACAGTCTGGGTTCATGAGTAGCCATCGGATCAGAGATTTGTTCACATTAGTTTGAGGAAGGTGTTGAACACAATAGATTATGTACATGCCGAAGTTAGTGCCACGGTATGCCTCTCCACTGCTGTGGTACCTGGTCATATATCAGGAATTTGGTCACGCAGAAAAAAAAGTTAAACGTTAAAGAGTAGAGATATATCTTTAGCGCTGTGCTGTTCATTTAGCATTGAGTATTGCAAATGTGATTAAATAAAAACAATTAACAATTTTAGGATTAGAAATTGTAAATCATTTTCGAATTTTGCAGAAAAAGAAAAATGACAGTGACTTTTACAAACTTTGTGTATTTTTTGCAAAAAAAATCAGTATTTATCTTTTCGTTAATAAAACAGATGGTCAAATAAACTGTAGTCGTTCAAAAGCCAGTCAAATTCAAACGTCGTGTTTTGACACCCACAAATTATATTATATAGCGAATAATTTGAAGTTACCTTTTGTAATTCATCCTGCCCATTGAAGTATTGTTATTATCTGCTTTGTTGTCTTCACTAGCCCTCTTCTCACTCTTTCCAATGACCCTTCTCTTCTCAGCAGCAAAGACCTTCCGAAAAAAATGGAGACTGCCGGACTCTAGATAATTTTTCACTTTATCCTCCATAAAAATTGATCTTGCACTGATTCTAGCTAATTAACAACTTATCACCAAAGTTGGATGGTATCTTGAAAGGACAAAATTATTGCAGTGAAAAATGAAAAAAAAAATCAACAACACGGCGTATACACTGTTGTTAAGCAATTGTAAATGCTGTGTGTATAGGAACTAATCAATTTTTCATTAACCAAACAATTTTAAAAATAAACTTTCATTTCCAATATTTTGAACGTGCAGGTGTTTTAGACAGTCTCTGCGGCTCAAATAAAGCATATTCATTTTTATATTTATTACCAATTTAAATCAATTTCATTAAAGATACAATAGACAATAAAATAAAGTGCCAATTATTTTTATAGTTTACCAAAAACCGTAATTAATTCCGCCTCGTCGTAACTTTGTCAGCTATCAGAAAAGATTCAGGTCATAAAACTTAAGTCCACGAGTCAATGAGTCCTCTAAATTTTTCTATAGACTTTCGCCGAAGTTTTGAACACAAAGTTCCATTTGAAACAAAGTACAGACCGTTTTGACTACATTTTTTTTGCAAAAAAAACTGATACGATAAAAAATGATGTGTAATTTTTCTTCTGTAGAAATTTTAATATTTGGGGCTGCTACTTTCCGAGGTGGGAGAAGAGGGAGTGCTAGTTCCAATTTAAGAAACTAGTTTATAACAGGTTAAGGAACAATTAAAATCAGGGGCGAATGGGGGGGGACTTAATTGCAAGCTGGAAGTAATTCATAAAAACAAGTATGTCAAATTCATATTCACAATCAAAGAACTCTTATCTTTAATTCAAAAAATCATAAATTATAATCATCAAATCAAAAAAAAAGTTTTTTAAAAAATGGGACGTTTCCAATGAAGCTAATCATAGGAGAAGAAAACAGTATCTTGAATTTTTTGCATTTTTGATTTTTATTCCTTAACTGACAATAACCTATTTCTGCTTAAAATTGACAAAATAGCTGCCATTCAAAAAACTGCAGGCTGGTAGAAAGCATCGTTCAGTTTCAACTCGAACGATCAATCAAAATTTTGAAAATTTCAACTTGTTTTTTTTTAACCCAACAAATTATACGATTACAATTGCAGGAATTCGGGTTTGTAGAATAGTTAAATAGTGTTCGTGATTTAAGTTGAGTGCATTTAAAAGCAACACTTTTGTTTCAAATTTGAGTTGTTTGTTAATTAATCAAAGTGTTTCAATTTTCTCGCCATTTTTCGTTTCGTTTTGTTCTAGTTTGTCCTTCTAGTGCTCGAAACTTCTAGTGCTTCTAGTGCTCATGTCGAGTCTTCTAAAACCAATTGAAGTCTTTTATCTATTTTTAATATTTTTTTATTGAGAAAAAAAACATGATTTTTTGGCACTCAATTTGAGAAAAAGAGCTTGAGAAAATTGGAATAGTGTTTTGCAACTGTCTTCCAATTGTTCATACCTTGAGCTTCACGAAGTATGTTGCAACGCAAATGTAATTAGAGTATAAATGTATATAAATCAAGCACAGTTGGCCGAGCGGCTTGTTCCAAATGTATACAGACTTGCCTGTTGGCGCAGGTTCGAATACCCCCATAAACAGACCTTATTACATTTAAACTCGAGGGGCTATAGCCCCACTTGAGCTTTTTTAAATTGTTTTTTGGTTCTAATTAGATTCAGCCATGATTAAGGCTGACCGGCAAAAAGAGCAGTTAGTCTCAAGGTTCTTGTGGCTAGCTTGCGCCGAAATGAATCATAATCGGAGCTGAATATTGTTTAAATTATGTTGTGAGTTTTCTCGATTATTCGGATTAGTTACTGATTATATCGACATGAGTGGTTTGTATTGCCAAAAATACGAACAAAACTTCGTCTAACCAATGTTGTATCCTAGTTACAGAGAGTACAGAGATTTAGCGCACATTTTGGCGCCCAGCAAGGGACCGAGCAACAGCAGCAGGGCCGATTTGAGTCACAGAGAAAAACTTTGCATCACAGAAATTACAGAGAAGAAGGTTGCAGTTTTAGTCTTAAATTTTTCTTCATTACTACATTCTGGCTCCTCTGGTTCTTCTGTCTCCCGTCATCACTACATTCGTGGCTCATTGTCTCACGACTACTTGTCTCACGTCATCACTTCATTCTGGCTCCTCTGATAGCGCATCTCCTGAGATCAAGGAAGTAAAGGTTGATCAGACAGGATGTCACCTGCAGAAGTGCAGGATGTCAACAACAGAAACTTTGTGAGGACTGGTCTAGGTGAACACAGCGTTTGCACCATTAGAACATTTGTGTATAAATTTAGAGTAGGAACTCTCAAAATAGAGAGGTTAAAATTGAGTCATTCATTTTTAAAGTATCTCTTCCTGGCGATTGCGTATAAATGAATTGATCATGGTAAGTGCACTATAAAAAAGACCTACTTTTATTTCTGTTGACAGAAGAAATTCACGATCGAACGAATTAAATGCTTTGGATAGAAAATGTAATGAAAACGAAAAGCAAATACTCTAGTCATGGCGTTTCTAGAGTTTTTGTGCAATCAATATTTTGTGAAGTGTTAATTGTTCAGTTTGAAATTCGAAATTCAAAAAATTTTTTGCTCAGTAGGAAATTGTTTGTTGATAGAATGTCGTCTTGATTTTGTATCCACGGAGTACATTTGACTCTTTTGATTGGCATTTTAATTTCTATTGTCCATGAATATATCATTTTGAGGTCAATTTGAATTTATTTTCTGAGAGAACCTACACTGATAAATTTTGCGTCGTCTTCGCAGAAGAGAGACAAGACAGTAGGACGATCTGAAGGAATTTGGTAAAAAATACTCCAAAAAAAGTGGCGCCAGTGTACTTCTTTACGGTGTTCCATTTTTTACGGTTTCTTGGTTAGTTGAAAAGCCATTACCTTGTAACGATTGGGAGCTAGATTACTCATAGGATTGCTAAAATTTACTCAATTTTTTTCGACTCCACGATTGAAAAGATTCATCAAAAGAATAACGTGATTGACGAAATCGGAAGTTTTGTTGAAGTCTGTAAAAGTATATATCAATGTAATGAATCTATCTATGAATATATATTCCATCTTAAAAATTGTTAGAGATGTGTAAAACCATTGATTTTTTTTACTGAAATTGATCAAAATTTATGAAACATTGGAGACAAATGATCCGGTAATCTGCTGAAAATTATGCATTCAATTGTTTCAAAAAGTACACAGGGAAATGAATCAGGTCTGTAGATTTTGATATTGCCTCTATAATTTTTTTTTGAAGCCAACCGATAATGACTTTCTTCCAGTGATTTGGAAAAAAACTGATCTAAATTGTTTTTTGAAACTTTGAGGAATAGACTGCAATAGAGATGCATGAGCTTCATTAATTAAAATAGGGGTAAAATATTATAGCCAGTTACTTTGCTAAGGTTTATAGATATGCAAGTTACATTTATCTCAAGTAAATTAAAATGAATTTAATCAAGCAATGAACTAAACTAAATTTGTCATTAAAATTTTTTCGGAAACTTTTGATATTGCTCCAGGTACTGTAATTTTTTGGTTCTTCTCGGTCAATTTATTTTGTAAATTGATGTAACAATTGATTTGTTTAGTAACTCTGATTACAAGCTGTTTTGTAGATTTTAAATTGAAAAAAAAAATGATTGCATCCTTTTTCAGTGCCCATCCTAAAATGCCAGACGGACGTGATGTGTTTTTCTACTTCAAGATTTGAGCAGTTCTTTCTCATTTTTAACGCTAGTAAAAAATCTGAAAATTTCTGTATTGGATAAATTTCAAATCATTCCCTCTGGTAGACATGAAGCTTTTTTTCGAATAAATGTGGCCATTATTTGTTCACCAAATTAACCTAATTAATTCTAACCATTTGCAGCCTTCCATAAATATGTAGTAAAGTGTAGGGGGCTGTAGCCTTTTTGTTAAAAGAATAAGGCTGGGATAAACCAGAAGACCAGAAATTAACCGGAGGTTTCAATATGAATATGAATACCTATCTAGATTCTATGCACAAATTTTCATACCTCGATTAGTTTTTCGTTTGAGCTAACATTCTGCTTCTGAAGCAATTTGCTGTAAAAACATAGTAAAACTTCCAGGAGCACTTGATCCTCTTATTGTAGATATCGTAATTAGTACAGAATAATGGGTAGAAGGTGTCGTTTGAGGCGAGTCCACATATGTAAGTCGACTTTCAGCACATTGGCAGGCCGACAGGTATTGTACAAGAAGTTCGGTTCACTTTTTGATTTCCGAGGACGCCTCAGCTGAAACATAGCCCCTCAAAACAATTTTGTATACGGTGGTATAATAAGTTTTAATGTCTCATATCGTCTCCACAATGAAAAAAACAAAAAACCACGGAAAAAAATGCGTAGAATCCTCAATTTATCTTGAAGTCATTTCATTATGAAGTCAAGTTATCTTGAAGTCGTGTCTGATCGACATGATACCTCCACTTGAAGTCTTTTAAATTATAGTTCCAATGTGTTTTTTTTGGGTATCCACGGCCTTGATTTCTTTTCTGTTGAAAAACAGATTTTTTTTATCTATGTTAAAAAGACATATGATAAAGTTTGTCTACAATAAATTGCATATTTATTTCTTTTGTACAAAAGTTTATCATATTGAGTTCAATTTTGGAATAAATTACTGAAAAACAACTAAAAAAGTTTCCGTGGTATGCAACGGGCATGGTCGAGACGTCGTCGTTAAAAATTTTATGAATTTTTAACGACCCAGGTTTACCACTGCTTAGTTGTTTCGGGTTTTGGATACTATTTGTTGTCATTAAATCCGTTGGGCAGTCGTCTGAATTTCCCAAGTTTCAAGTATAAAAGCGTCGGGCAATTGTTTGAACTCAGTAAAATCAAAAGTTTTAGGCAGATGTCTGAAATTTCCAAGGTCATACACGTTGGGCAGTTGTTTGAACTTCTCAAAAATCAAGATAAATGAAACTTTAGGGGGTTTTCGAATGTTTCAAGAATCAATTGAACAAACGCTGGACAGTTTTTTGAAATTACCAAAACCAGAATGTTGGGCAGTTGTTCGAAATTCCCATGAATCAATTATGAAAGCGTTTGGCAGTTGCTTGAATTCCCCCGGGCCGAAAAATTTGGGCGGTTTTTTAAATGTCACACGAAGGAAAAAATCG